GGTGTAATTGAATCCAAAGGATTGCTTTTGCCCCAAAGATGATTTTGACCCTTTTTTATCCTGGCCAGCCATCTTTCTGAAGCTGTTAGCCTATTTACATTTACTAAAGGTGTTTTCTTTTGTTTTTGCTAAACCTTTGTTTGATCAAATAAGAAGTTTTAGTGGAGGACAAAACTGTGTTCACTGAGCAAGTTCCTGATAAAATCTGGAATTCTCCTGGTAACAGCTAACATGGTGTCAATGAATAGAGTATTGGATTTGGGCTGATGATATGCTTGCTTTAGAAACTCATTAAGATGGTGAATGCTGAATAACTTACAGCTATTAACTGTATCTTGTCCACTGTAGATGGGCAAAGCACTACTGAGGTTTTGGAGAGTTCCTGTAACTTTAATTAAAAGTTTCTCACTTCCCTCCTCCCTTTTTGCAGGTCTTATTGCTTTCTGTTGGTTGAGGTTGAGAAATAACTGATAAATAGCCTCTGTTGAGCTATCTTGAAACGAGCAGCAAATGATCTCCTGGATGTTGTCTTCCTGTGAATTTTTCAACTGCTGACTACACTAGGAAAATGTATGAGCCAACACAGTCTGCATGCCAGTATACATTTGGAGCTATATAATGCCATTTAAAAAATCTGAATTGTTGTTCTTATGGACCATCATATTGGTGTTAGAGCAACCCTATGAAGGAGACCTCCAAAAGCCCTAATCCTCAATTGCCCTGCTCAGGTCTTGCAAACTCAGGACCTTGAATCAATCCAACTGTGTTGTGGTCTTCCTCTTGTCCTACTGCCATTCCCTTTACTATGCATTATCACCTTTTCCAATTACTCATGCCATTTCCTGATATCTTCAAAGCAGAATAGTCATTTGGGCCTCTAGTACACTTAATTTGCTCTTGGAGTCATTTGTTGGTCTTTTTGGGAGTCCAGGGAATATATGTCAAGTCATACACAATAAAAGGGATGTAAGTCTTCACATTCCTCACCTTCACAAGCAGAAATCAGTAATTTCCTCAGTATTCTCCCCATACTTGAAGCAGTATTTTCACTTCAGGAGTGGATGTCCTTCAGGGAAGTATTTTGCAATAAATAAATAAATAAATGTTTTTCTGCACAGAAAATACATTGTCCTGCTCAGAAAATGTCCTTCCTATGCAAAATACACTGTTCCCTGTGCATAAAACATGTTTTCCAGTCAAAACCTATTTTAGGCACAAAAAGTCACTGTACATTTTCCCCTCCCTGTTTGCAGACTTGGAGTCCATGGTCTCGCTCCTTCACGGAGCAGGGAGGGACAAATGGCGCATGTGTCTGAGGCACATGCACAGCACCACACACAGGAGCATGCACCCCTTTTAACCAATGGGCTTTGAATATTTGCGTTTTTTCCAATTCACGCAGGGGGTGGTGGTTTGGAATGGATCCCCCACAAATTGGGAGGGATGACTGTTTTTTGACAGAAACAAAGACTAGGAGGGGCTTTGCAAAGTGCAAAGAACCTAATGGCTGTTGTCATTCTAGCCAACACAGTTTCTCACGTATTGAGAAACTGTGCCTCAACAGGAAAATGAAAATGAATTTTAAAAGACTAATGAGTACCAGACATATCTGGACTCCTGTTTGCACATGAGTAGAATGGGTAGGATTGTCAGCCTCTTTTTCCAAGGAGCCCTGTAATTTGAACTGGCAGCCAATTGGGCGAAGATTGGCCGGTCTTGTGGTAGGACTTAACACACTGTCCTGCATGACAAAGTTTTCTGTCAGGTCCACCTGTTCAGCATAAAACCATCATCCTGGGGCTAGCTGGTAAGTACAGTGAGTCTTGTTGTCCACTGGAGTTTGGTTCCAGGATTCCCCATGGATACCAAAATCTGGATGTTCAACTCCAATTATATACAATGGCATAGTAAAATGGTGCTCTTTATATAAAATGGCAAAATCAAGGTTTGCTATTTGGAAGTTAATACTTTAAAAAAATATTTTCAAGTAGTGGATGCTTAAATTGGTGGACAAAAAATCTATGGATAAGGCCCTTGGTATCCACTGTGATTTGGTTCCAGGACCCCCTATGGATATCAAAATCCATAGATGCTTAAGTCGCATTAAATACAATGGATAGTAGAATGGAGTCCCTTATATAAAATGGCAAAATCAAGGTTTGCTTTTTGGAATGTATGTATTTTTAAAAGGTTTTCAAGCTGTGGATGCTTGAATCCATGGATAAAAAAATCCATGGATACAAAGACCTAACTGCATATAAGCCCCATTGATTCAGCTGTAGTTGGAAATGAAAACTGGATCTCAGTCCTCATTTTCAAAAAGAATAACTCACAAAGACAACATGACACATGACAGAATTCACAAAATGAAAGGTCCAGGAGCATAAATTGTGATTTTTATTTATTTTATTTATTTATCCCATGTTAAGAATATTTATGATAAATGAAACTGGTTTGTACTTCTAAGAGAAAATTCAGATGACAGCCAACTGCATGTTGGGTGCAGCCAACTGCATGTTGGGTGGTGATAAGAATCAGCCCTAAGATGGAGAAAAGGGTGGCTCTGAAAGTAAATCCTCTTCATTGAGGAATGATTTGGCATTGACTGTTCACATTGCTTTAAAACTGTTTGTAAAGAGCTGTCAGAAGATGTATTTGGAACTGTTTCCACCTCTTGTCCTCTTGGATTGGAGCTCTGATTTGTGAATGTTCCATGTTTACAGCAGGGAAAATGCCCTGGTTTTAAAAAATAATAATAGGCAATTTGAAAAACAGCAAAAAAAAATGTGTTGGCCACCAAGGATCCCTAGCTGGGAGGCATGTCATATCATAGCAATGTAGTTTGGTATGACACAAATGCCTCTGTAAGGACAGTACTAGCTGATAATATATATGGTGAGGTTTGAGGTTTGCATTTATTATACCAAGGTCATTATCTTCCAATACTGGAGACATACATTACAAAACTATTGGGCTTTTCCAGATTCATCTAAAGGAACATGAATTCTCACAATACAGCTACTTGGGGTTTGTTGGTGGTTGTTGCTTTTACTCTACTTGTTCCATTATTCTGGAAGGCTGTTTTTAGTGATTTCTTGGATCTGCACTAGGGCTCTTCCAAATATATATATGTTTAAAGCCAGGGTGCATGGCTTGCTGAGGTGGTCCTATGGTTTGAAAGATAAATTTTGTTCTCTCTCTCTCTCTCTCTCTCTCTCTAATTATGGAGTTAGAGTTATGGTGCAAAAGCACCATTTCACTAATGTACCATAACTAAAAGAAATTAAAATGAGAAAAGAGGAAAAGACAAGCCAAAGTTATTTATTCTCATATGTCTTGGAATAGAAAATAAAACTACTTAAGGGTGAGAATAACTGATACTGAGAATTATCAGAAGGTTTTCTGGTACCACAGAAACATCACCTGAATCTTAAAAAATAAATCTTGAGAACTACAGCAATAAATCCCTATGCTTCACATTTTTAATAGTGAAGAAACATGTTGCATGCTCTCTCTCTCTCTCTTACATATCTGGGGCATTAGCTGTGAAGATGGCATCCTCATGCAGCAATATGGAGTCTTGCATCTGGCAGGATCAGGACCTTTATTACTTAAATTAATCAAGTAAATAATTAATTTGTAATGTACTTGCTTCCACTACCAAATACACACAAATTAGAGGGCCATAGCTCAGTGGGATAGTCAACATTTTGCACATAGAATGCCTATGAGGGGGTATCGTATAGTTTTAATTATCACCTTTTTAAAAAATGACAGAAAGTTTGTTTTGATTTGTAGTTGTTAACTTATCTTTACATAGTCACTATCCAGATTTACACATTTTTCCCAGCATTGCTCCACCCTCCAAATACCTGATATGGTAGAACTCTGCAGATTGTGCCATATGAGAGGATATCCTAAAGTAATAATTATCACCTGGAAGTTACTATGGTATATTGATGAAATGTTGTCAGTGTCATCTTTGGTCCCTAAGTGCATAATGTTGAGAAAATCAGCTCAATGTGTCCTTTATTTTTGTTACAGGTTGTGCCAGAAGTGACTAAAGTGTAAAATCCTCATAAGGCGCAATCTGCAGACTTCTACTGTGGTAATGGTATTTGGAGGGTCAAGAAACACTGAGAAAAATGTGTAAATCTGGATGGTGACTATGTAGTGATAAGTTAACAACTACAAATCAAAACAAACTTTCTGTCAAAAATTTTAAAAGGTGATAATTAAAACTTATGATATCTCCTCATAGTTTCAATCTGTGGCATATCCAGTTGAAGTCAGGGTGGGGAAGCTGAGACGCTCCACATGTCAGACTCCCATCATGACCACCAAGCATGATGAATAATGAGAACTTATTGGGAGTTCTCATTCAGTAATGTCTGGAGGGACACTCAAGAAATTAAAGATAGCTCTACTAGCAGAGCTCAGAAGGATGCTGTTTAGACCAGGGACAGACAACCTTTTTGAGACCTGGGCTGGTCTCCTGTAGCCCAGGTCTCGGCTGGGCCGGGTGGGGGGTGGGGGGTGGCGGCACGTGCGTGCTTATGCGCATGCGTATCCTCCTCCTCTGCACACGCACCCTCCTCCGTGCGCAACGCGCGCGCGCGGCCACAACCGCCACAGCACAAGTCGCGGCTGCAATTTTGGAAAATAAGCCAAAAATTACTCCAAGGCACTGGATTACCCTG